AGAGAGAGAGAGAGAGAGAGAGAGAGAGAGAGAGAGAGAGAGAGAGAGAGAGAGAGAGAGAGATGTACAATACCACACATACGCTCCCACCACGATTTGTTACTGGACGTCGAGACGGGCAGTCAATCTAAACATCTCAGGTCTATTAAAAATTTGAGGTGAAAAAAAAATATATACATAAATGGAAAAACGATATAGAATTGGTGCCTACGGAAACTAATACGAATTCTGTTTTAAACAAAACAACGAACCAAGTCAATTACACAATTTCGTTCAACAAGGCAGAGGTGAAGTTGTAATTATATCACTGGATTCTCCCCCTCCAATTGCACCCCTCCCGCCTAACTCATCCTCACCCTTTTAATCAATATCAACGGTTAAGGTGTTGAGGTTGCGAGAACGGTGCATTCCCTCCACATCCCCTCCCTTCCCGCCATCCCCACCGGCCCGTCCCTGTGGTGTCAGCGGTGATTGTGCATCACCTTTGCCAGTGCATAAAGACGGTTGCAACTGACTCTTCGCCACGCTCGACCCAACATCAGATTCTAACTCGATCTCGGATCTGCCTTGCATTGCAGCATTTGTTATCAATAAACTCCCGTACGTGGTACCTGGATCCGGCGGCAACGTCGGTGACACCTCGATGGGCGGGGACGATTGTGCCGCGGCGACCGAGATGAATTTTTTCGATATTTGTGGCATTGACGTCATGTCAACCTCTTAAGGCCCAACAACAGTAGTCCCGTCATCTCCCCTGTGCCCTGCTTGCGCGGCCACGGAGGCCGGGTCAGCCAAAGGCATAAAATCATGAGAGCAGCTCCCCTCCAAGGTTCTGGCGGTTTGATCAACCTTCCAATTGATTGACCCGCGTGAGGGACTCAAGTGTAGGGCATAAAATTTGTTGTTGTACTACAGTTGCCGATTGTCGCGCAAGACATGAAACAATTCTTCGGCCTTGGCTTTGATGGCGGCCTCGCTCTGCCCTGGATTCTCGACGCGCACGCGATGCAGGATCGCGAGCTCCGTCGTTTTCAACCAGATGTTCTTTGACATCCGACGAAAAGTCTTCCAACCGCTTGTGTATTTCACCGCCATCTTCCACTCCCCATCTTGGATGCACGACTGTAAAACGCCCTCATGCCATATGATGTCATGGCCCCATTGATCCTCGCCTGTGTGGGTGTGTTTGCCCTCCAAGAAATAAATCGTGTTCGGGTCAGCACAGTAGCCTGGAGGAATTGCATCGCCTGGTGCGAGCGTCGACGCCTCGCCTGGTATCTCAATGTCGTCTTCTTCATTGCCACCGCATCTTCCATTGTCTTGCAATGCAGCAGTCTCTGACGGGGCCACCATTGAGGCGACGCTTGGGGCGGCCACCGGGATGGACCCTTCGTGCGAATGGACAATTCCGTCATCATGAGCTTGCACCATTCCTCCGCGCGGAACCTCAGCACATGTGTCCTCGCCCTGTTCGAGGTCGAAGTCCGAAGAATCTTTCTCGCTATCGACGGGGTTAAAGCCATCGCCCGATTTCGCGAGCTCCGAGTAGTCCTTGGACGTCAATTGGTCTTTGCGAAGATCGAACTTGAGGATCTCGCATCGAGCAACAAAAGTCTTAAAGGCGCCAGTGAGAGCACCGTGATAATGTTTGAGGGTCTCTGTTGCCTTTGCTTTCCTGTATATATATTTCCCGTCAAGCCGTCCTCGTGGCATATCGCGGAACAGGTACTCCCACACCTTCAGTCTCTTAGGCCCCAACTTGTGGAACATGTCCCTGTTCGGGCGATGTTTGCAACGCGGTTTCTCGACGTGGCAGTTGAATCTGTCGTCCTTAACAAGTATATCGATGAACTTTGTCAAGTATGCAATGTCCTTTGCTGACTCGTCACAGGCAATGACATTATTCCCTGCCAGTAAGAATTCCCACACAAGACCCGCGTGCGCCCTACCCAATAAAAACACACATTCCGCCTCCCTGACGAATGATCCGCACAACGAACGCAACTTGCCAGGCTCTCGCTCCCTGATGGAATACACCACACTTTCATCGCCCTCTATGCCACTGTGTTTCCCCAGACACTTCCCGAACTTGTCCTCCACAACATGCACGTTTGTGAGGTCATTGACAAGGCGGGGTGCGACCGTGACCTTTCTGAGATCCCCTCCCTCCACGTGCAGGACAATGGTCATTATGTCTCGACTCGCCGTAGCGATATTGCCATACCTCGTGATGTCATTCGATGGCCTGTCCACCCGTTTCCAGGTCCCGAGGATGAGTTTGATGTCCTCCCACTGGAATAAGCAACGCAGAACATCACTTTGCACCTTCTGCGGTGCGAAGACAAAAAGAACCCAATTAATACCACAATAGTTAGTCATTATAGAGTGCAGAGCGTCGAACTCTTGAGAGGTTCATGTCATGCAGAAGTTAGCGGGGGAGATGTCAAGGATGACGGCCCTGCATGTCATTTTTTGCGCCGCAGCGACGATGTCGTCTGGCGCAGCCAACACTTCCTTCAATGGCATGCAGACTGGTAGCAATGTTGTTTGTTTTTTAAGTTTATCCCACACGATATGACGTGCGCTGGAGGCGACCCGTTTGACCTCCGCCCGAAGCAGATCGAGCTTATCGATTGAGGTGTATACAAACACCTTAAAGTGGAACGGAGCCTCCTTATACATTGCCGCCGTAGGGCCCAAGCCTGATCCTTGCCTTGCCTCCTCCACCCCTCCAAGCCGTCGAGGGACCGTCTTCACTTTGCTGACATGCAGCTTGTCCCGTTCCTTCTCCCATTCAGCTGCACACAAACCGTTCGGCCCATACCTGTCTTCGAGGTCCTTGTATGACATGAAGAAGGCATCATTCCACTCATCGTCTTCCCTTCCCTCGACGCGAAAAACAACGTAGTTGAACATACGGACCATGTATCGTTCCTTGCGCATGATGTCGAGGAGGCACTCCGTATTCACTCTCGGAGGTATGACCTTGACGTTCGTCGCGACCACCTTCCCTTTCATGAGGAGGAGCAGTGCAACTTCCCTCTCGCGGCACGTCAAATCCCCAAAATTTTTGAAGTAGGAAGGACAAAGATCCTTCCACGACACGGTGGAGCCTTTGGGACCATCTCTCGCGTACATGCAATGGTATAATGTTCTTTGCCCCTTCGTCTCGTCGGTGTACGGGCTTGGCTGGCGCCCCTCCATCCTACCCGGCATGTCAAGCGGTATTTTACCATCGCCAACTGACAGCTTCCCCTCGTTGAACATCTCGAAGAACTTCTCGACCAGTGGCCACATAGCCTTGGTAGATGTGGCGAGGTTCATGTAGCCATGGAGTTTATTGCTCCAATTCTTACTGTACTCATTCTCGAGCGCTTGCTTCACAAACGCCTTGTCGCATACCTTCCCCATGTAGGCCCTTAAAAAATTTTGCCACTTCTTTTGGTGCGCAACGGCGACCGCATCCTTATCGCTGACCTTGCCTTTCGGGGCCTCGATTCGATGGTTATCGATCCACCATTGCCTCATATCACGGACAGCATTCTCGAAGGACAACATCATGGCCCGATTTTCGCGCGTGTTGTCGAAGGCGGAGACATTGAAATACCCTCGTGTCTGCTCATCTCCAAAATCGCCGACCCGCACCTTAGAGTACGCGCGAAGGCCATAGACGTCGACTGCCGGAGAGCCCTTTTTTACCAATGTCTTCATGGCCTCGACCGTATGCTGACCACAGACAGCATACCAATCGAACTCCGAGGAGTTTCTTTCGAAGAATTCGGTCGGTGTTATCCGCCTACCCTGCCCGCCAACGATGTCGTTGCGGTCAACCGGTGCAAGCACGAGGTCAGGCCTGTCCCACGCCCCCGGTTCCGTGGTGATGGAACTCTCGATGGCATTCACGATGCCTCACACAATGTTCGCAGACAAAGAGCGGTGGTGGAAAAGAATATTCCCGCAGGGAATGCGTTTGATTTTCATGACGTCCACAAGAACAGGAAGGACTTTTTGCTTAGCAAAACCCCGCTCGTCGTACTCGAGGAAGAAACAACGCGTCGTGTCGATAGGCGCAGCGTGCTGAAGCGGTTCATCACCATCGTCGAGCATGCGAGGGCCCACTCCGTCGCCCTCATCCCCTGAGTCCCGCAGTTCTTCTGCCCTCACTATCTGCTTACCTTTTCTTGCGCCACCACGGCGGCCGCCACGACCGCCAGATCTTTCCCCCTGGCTTCTCTTCCGAGGAGGTCTCGCCTCCTAGGATGCCACCAGAGCTCCACGAGCCTCATTAACAGCGTCTGTCCTCGCTTGTCTCTTGTGAACGGAAGCAGAAGGAGAAGTTTCTCTTGTCCTTTTCCTCGACTTTGATCCTCCGTGCTCCTGCGAGTCATGCCCACCCTGACTCCCGCCTTGCGTATGCCATATCGCAGGGGACGACAAGGGCCGACCAACAGCCGCTCCCACAGAACCGGTGGGGATGTCGCCAGGGCCATGCTCCGACGTAACACCGATGTCGTCATCGCCAAGCATGTTTTGGTCCTGCATGTTCTCATCCCCAACGTCCATATACTCGTCATCACCGTCGTCTTCACGTGGACCGCAACTTCCCCCATCTTCTTCCTCCTCGTTTCGCTCAGTGAGGGCAGTCCCACCTTCCTGGGCACTGTCACGCAGAGCATTGCGTCCGTACAGATTTCTGTCATCGTACTCCGTAGCCTCGCTGGAACATTGAGCGATATCATGACCTCCCCTCACCGTGGGCAAGGGCGAGGGCGACGCGGCTGGCAAAGGCGGAGTTGGACAAGCAGCCAACTGTTTTCTCTTCCCAACCGGCGCGGATGGAGTCTGTCGCGATTTCCTCGAGCTCGTGACAAAGGGCACGAAAGGGCAGTCGGCTTGTTGGTCCAGAGGCAAGACTTCCCTGTACTCCTTAACAACGCCTGGCAGTTGGTCCGCCAGGCTGCTGAATTTCACCAAGGGTTTGGTGAGCTCCAAGGAACTTTCAACGACAGGAGGGCAGCCAGTGACGCGGTAGCCGTTCGTTCTACTGAGGAACTGTTCCGCAGTCAGCATGCGAAGCTCGGTGCCATCCCCGCGCACGTCAAACGCTTTCATGGAGAAAGCCTTGACGCCGTAGCCTTGAAAGAGCCGCAAGTCAAGGCCGACCTTCTTGTCTTCCTTGACCCAATTTGTGCCATCCTTCTCGAAAACTGACGTAAGAAAGAAGGTCCTGAATGACCTCCCGTCGTAGGTATTTCTGGCGCTCTCAGATTTCTCAACACCCCCACCGCAGTACCATGCCGCACCATTGTCGTCGCTCAAGAAGACGACGGCCCCACACCCAGGCCTATGCAGACCACCAACCCAGTCCAGAGCCCATGGTTTGTTGTTGTAGATTTTTGACCTGCCATATGCCCGAGAGGACGAAGCAGTAGGTTGACCTAGAGGGCACAAACAAAGGAAACGCACGAGCAAAGAACAAATGAGGAACAAACAGAAGCGCTTCACATGTGGAGTCGACCCTCTTTTCTGGAAAGGGGTCCGGCGTTCCCTACACGCCCACCCCCCCGACCCTCGTTTCTAAAAGGGGGTCCGACGTTCCCAGAACGCCCGCCCCCCTCGGGGCATTTATGAAAGGGGGTCATTTGCTCCCAGAACGCCCGACCCCCCACCCAATCTGAAAAGGGGTCCGGCGTTCCCTAGATGCCCGACACCCCGACACCCCGACCCTCGTTCCCTAGACGTCCGCCGTTCCACGACCGTAGCGTGCGCGGGTCTGGCGTCCCCTAAATAGCAGACCCCACGTGCGTGCCTGTCACCACGGTAGTTGGCCGGACCCCTCCCTCGCCCGCGTGCTCGACGGAACCCCGCGGCGCTTCATGTCCGTTCCTCCCCCTCCCTGTAGCAGCACCGAGGGGGGTCCGGCGTTCCCGGAATGCCGGACCCATGTCGGTGCTGCCAGAGAGTAAGGGGCCCCCTCCCTCCCCGTCGCCAGCAACAGCACCAAGGGGATCCGGCGTTCCGGGAACGCCGGACCCCCTTTGAGCTGTGGGGGAAGAAGTGGGTCCGTCCGCACCCCTCGATGGCCACAGCACAAAGGGGGTCCGGCGTTCCCGGAACGCCGGACCCCCTACGTGCGGCGGGGGAGGACGGGAACGCCGGACCCCCTTTGTGGCGCGGGGGAGGATGGGGGTCCGAGATCCGATCCGACGATGGGCATAGCACGAAGGGGGTCCGGCGTTCCCCGAATGCCGGACCCCCTTTGTGTTGTGGGGGATGAAGGGGATCCGCCACATCACCTCGATGACCACAACACCAAGCCCCCTCGGTGCCCCTCGCTCCCCCGAAGCGCGAAGGGGGTCCGACCTTCCCGGAACGCAGGACCCCCTCCGCACTATAGCGGGGGGGGGGGGGAATCACACACACACACACACACGCACACACACA